ATCTTTCAATTTTCGTAGCCAAAATTGGGATCTGGCAGATTGCAGAGTCGTCAAAGTTCATATTCAGTCATTTCAGGGATTCTATAAAACAACACTAGCTTCCGAAAACCTCATAACTGATTGTAAAGTTGTCATTAAATAAATCAAAAACTAATAAAAAAAAATCAAAAACTGTGTTGATTTGAAGCATAATAAACATTAATTACTTACTAAGTGAGTATTATGTGGCCGCCGGGCTATTTAATGGTTACTGAAGTAAGGGTTCGCTGGTCACAACAATAAATGGGGCCTAAACAATTGCAAAACTTGTAGATTTTTGCATGGCGAAAATAAGGCGATATTGTCATGTGAGGACTACGCCAAAGCCTGAATATTCTGAAGAGTCAACGTCCAAGTTATGGCACTAGGGAGTCATGCATGAAGTTATTTTTATACCCTACAACCACAAGGTGGTCAGGGTATTATGTTTTTGTGCATTTGTTTGTAACATGGAGAAGGAAGCGAGATAGACCCATAGTTACTTTTGAGGATCTCCATAGAATTACTTTCTGAGTTGATTTATGCATGTCAGTCCGTCTGTCCATGTATTCTTGTGAACAAAATGCAGGTCGCATTTATTATCCGATTAAGATGAAATTTTGCACATATCATTGGTTTGGCCCAAGGACAAACCCTATTGAAATTGGAGATAATCGGTAAAAATTTAGCTATAGCTCCCATATATATTTTCGTCCGATTTGCCTTTTATTGTGCACCAAACGTATAATATCAGCCCGAATAGTATGGAATTGTGAACATATAACCAAATTAGGCCTGAAAATAAGTATGCCAAATTTTATCGAAATCGGTTCAGATATAGCTATATCTCCCATATATATTGTTCATCCGATTTGTTATTTTTGTCCTCCGCAGCCGTAATATGCCCTCTGTAACAACAATATTTGGGGAAATATATGAAATACAGCTCAGAAATACATTTGGTACATTTCATCGAGATCGGTTCAGATTTGGATATAGCTCCCGTATATAACTTCGTCCGATTTGCTTTTATTGTGCACCAAACGTGTAATATCAGCCCGAATAGTATGGAATTGTGCACATATAACCAAATTAGGCCTGAAAATAAGTATGCCAAATTTTATCGAAATCGGTTCAGATATAGCTATATCTCCTCAGCCGTAATATACACTCTGTAACAACAATATTTGGGGAAATATATGAAATACAGCTCAGAAATACATTTGGTAAATTTCATCGAGATCGGTTCAGATTTGGATATAGCTCCCATATATATCCTTATCCGATTTCGAATTATTTGTGCAACAAATGGGCAATACAAGTCCGAATTTAAAAGATACAAATGCTTCGGCTTATTTAGTCCTTTGAACTTCAAATTATAATTATAATAACAGCGTGTATGATTGAATTATCCCATAAAAACTTTTAATTGTTATACGGAGTTCTACTAAATTGGCAATTGGCAAAGTCGGTCCCGCCCGACTTTAAGACTTTCTTTACTAGTTTGTTTCCTAGAAGTGGAGGTTGTCATAGGTTCGACCAGATCAAAGTTAACATATTTTTTATGTGTTTTAAAAGTTTTGACAACAATTGACCACTGATTTCTATTTTTCTGTGAGAACATAACAACTCATACAAGAAATTTCTACCTTAGGAAAGTCGGCCCAAAATACAAAAAAAAAAAAAAAAATAATAAATAATAATAATAATAATAATAATAATAATAATAATAATAATAATAATAATAATAATAATAATAATAATAATAATAATAATAATAATAATAATAATAATAATAATAATAATAATAATAATAATAATAATAATAATAATAATAATAATAATTGCCATGTTAGGATCTTAGCATAGGCTTTCATGAATCATATGTACATTTTTTGTAGCCAAATATATTTATTATACCAAAATAATACTAATTTAAAAATACCCTACGTCTTTTTGAACGGAATCCGTTTTAGGACATTTGGAATCGATGTAGTCATGTCCATATGCCTATCCAACTGTTCTGCATGATAACTTTCAAAAGGGAGTATTTGATATGGATCGAGCTTGGTATATTGCAATATTTTTACAAAATTTAGACAAGGTTTAATTGATGGGCAAGAAAGGTCCAGTCAAACAAGAAACACATAAAAAAGTAAATAAGTTCGGACGGCCGATTTCAAATGGGAAATTTGAAATAGTTCCACTCAAAAGATTCGCTAAAACCATTAAAATACAGGGAGGTACCGTTATATGAGGGCTATGGGATATCATGGACCAGAAGCAACTCCTAGTGTGTATTCTCAGACAATTCCATTGAAAAATGTGGCTAAAATCATCAAAATACCTAATATCGGGAGGTACCGTTGTATTGAAGATATTGGAGACCTATAAAGAAAATTATCGTCCAAGAGGCAAAGTACTCAGAAGCTATTCCTTGTGTGGATTTTCAGACAATTCCATTGACAAAATTTGGTTATCACCATAAAAAAACGAATATTGGGAGGTAACGTTAAATTGGGGCTATATGATATCATGGACCTATCTAAACAATTCTCTTCCAGGGGGTAAAGTACTTAGAAGGAACTCCTTGTATAGATTTTGGGAAAATTCCATTCAAAAATTTGACAAAAATCATGAAAATACCGAATATCGGTAGGTAGCGTTATATGGGAGATATACGATATCGTTGATATAGATCTACGATAAATATCTTCCAAAGGGGTAAGGTGCTCAAAGAACTCCTTGTGTAGAAATTCAGACAATTCCATTGAAAAAATGTGGCTAAAATCATAAAAATACCGAATATCGTGGGTGCCGTTTTATATGGGCGGCTATACGATATCTCGGACCGATATAACCCATCTTCGAGCTTGACCTGCCTGCAGACAAGAGACAGATCTGTACAAAATTTTAGCTTAATATCTTAATACGTTTTGACTCTAGCGTGATTACAACAAACGGACAGACGAACAGGGCTAAGTCGACTTAGAATTTTACGCTGATCCAGAATCTATATACTGTGTGAGGTCTAACATGTTTATTTCGATGAGGTACAAACGGAATGTCGAACTATGTATGTTGGAGGGTATAAAAAACGATCACTTTCAGTAGGAAAAAAACATATATAGGGTTGCCCATATTCGACGGACCTTTGGGCTCTTTGGGCCCATTCCAATCGACGAGGCTTGTCCGCAGGCAACATTCTTTGCGTCAATTGAATTTTGTACGGGAATGCAAATCAATGCGAATAATCCGTTGTAAAGTGGACCGAGCCATACCCAAATGCTGAGAAGGGCGTTTTTGGGATGTTCTTGGGAACCTCTCAACACTGGCTCGTACGGCAGCGATATTCACGGCCGATCGCCTTGGTCGACTTTTATATGGCTTCTTCGGATTAGAAAGAGCCTTACCAGTCGAAAATTTTTCGTATAAACGCTTAATGGTGTTCTTAGAAGGCGCACTTCTCACATTTTTTAATGGTTTAAAAGCACATTGAGTTTTCACAATTGTAAATTTCAACTATTTCAGAGCGCTTGTGTGGCGTGTATTGGTTCATGGTAAAAGTCTGCTTGGACTGACGCTTCAAACGCGGTATGTCATTAAGCGATGTGACATCTCTGTCAAAAGTTATGGCGTTGCCAGATGGGTCCGTCGAATATGGGCAACCCTGTACTAGAATCGATTCTGATTAAGTTCCATCCCATGAATTAGTTCCATCTGAATATCAAATCATATTTGGTATGATTTGGTTCACACAAATTCTCAATATAAACATATATTTGTTCCGGTTGGAACTGCATAGCGGTGTAGGGTACCATATACTCCTCCCTGTCCGACTTTCTAACTTTTCCTACTGATTTTATTCTCCATCACATCATACAGGATGCAAAACGTCCCAAATTTTGACATGCCCACAATAAAAAAAACTGCAAAACCAAAACGGAACTATTCACTTGAAATTATATAAATAATGATTTTGATTTCTTCCATCTGGCTGACATTTAATTGCCTTCCTACCCGCGCTGAGCACTGAATGAGATTTCAGATAATAGGTGTTAAATAACAGCCACAACACAAGTCAAACGTCAAAACGCACTTTTATTATCATTTACTTGTCAATGTGCGCGACACTGCCTACCACCAACCAACAACTAACTGGCTGAGGAAAACTGTCGGTGCGATGGTGTCAACACAAACAAGAGCGGTGTTTGGGAGATGATAAACTAAACAAATCAAGAAAAGAAAAAGACAAGTCGAAAATGTGTCAGAGATAAAAACAAACAATAACATCAACACCATCCAAGGAAACCCCCCAACCATAGTGTCTCTCTCGCTCTCTCGGCCAAGTCGGAAAATACAATGAATGAAAGAGAGCTGGATGAGAACAAACTAAAATTAAATATTTATTTAGTTGTTAACAAATCATAATACTTGAAATGAAAAATTAACAGTAAAGAGTCATTGTCGTATTTTTGTTTGTTTGTTCTCTATTGAACACTGCTAGACTCACAACAAAGAGCATTAGTGTGACGTTGACTCTCTTCTAACGTAAAATACATGCTACATGCATCATTAAGAGAGAGCTCTTCCCCTCTGATTAGTATTTGTTGGCCTAGTTGTTGGGGTCACATTTGTGGGCGGCACATTGAGGTTTGTTATGCTGAAACGATTTTAAGAGATACGCTACGTTATGGGTGCCACATGAACAGAACATTTGGTCTCTTTTGCAGTGTTATCAACGATGAGCGACTACCATTCTCTCCTCTCTCTCTCTCTGGCCAACGTTTTTGTTGTTATTATATTTAAATTTTATAACACCGAAATGCTCTTTTTTAGGTGTTACGGCTTCGTATTTGAGGGAATGTTACGTAAAGCCTATATCATTAGAGTAGGGAATGTATTTGTGAGCTTGGCAAGGCCTATGTGATTGTTATTGTTTTTTCATTTAACATTTTCCAAACTTTTTTCTTTGCTTTCAGATAATCATTACCAAAAAACAAAAACACACACAATAAACAAATAACAGAGCACCAACACCAACCACAGCACAACGGCAGCGAGCAGCAACAGCAGCTAAACGGAACGGAGACGACTTTGTCTCAACGCAGTCGTGTTACGTATGCGAAAGGGAACGGTTACATCAAACGTTGAAAGAAAATATATTTTTTAATAAAATATCGGAAGAAAAAATAACATGAAAAATTAAAAAAAAAAAATACAAAATAAATAAAAATATTAAAAAATTTCAAAAAGTGAAAAATGATTTAAAAATTAAAGAAATATGCAAAAAATAATTCTACATTTTATTGAAAAGTGAAGTGTCTATTGTGAAATAAGCAATCAAAGTTACGTTTGAATTTTCATAAAGTGCAAAAAATAAAAAAAAAAATATTCGTAATTAAATTTTCTTGCAAAATAAGAAAAATTAAAGAAAAAATTATTCGGAAATAATTGCCGATATTCTATAATGTCTAAAAGTGCCACTGAGCAATTTCAAATTAAAAAGAAAAGAAAACATCCATTAAACGGTCCAGCCGTTGTTATTTCAAACACTGCATCGCCAGTTAATCAAAATCAAGATATTCAAACAGATAAACTACTACCCAGTTTTAAGCGTTACGTCAAAGACATCACATCGGACGCCATCATCAAAGAGAATTTCTCAGAATTCCAAATTGATGACAAGTTTCTGAATCATTCGTCGTTGTATTTCAAACCAATTACAGCTGGTGACGAAACTGCAGACATCTATTTAGATTCGGATTGTATAGCTGCTGTGGCGGCGACAGGCAAATCGCACGCTGTTGCCACACCCCCTCAGAACAATCTCAACAGCACAGGCGTTGGAGCAGAAGCACCAGCAGCAGCTATATCGTTGTCCACAAACTGTTTACGTGACAACGTGCAGGCACAATCATTGCTACGGGGAAAATCGTTTACATCCAATAAGGCCAACAACAAGACAATGCCACTGCAACACGGTTTCTATGCCAGAGGAGCCTCGGCCAGCAAAAGAGCCTTGAAATCAGCAAAAGTGCAGTCGAATTCTCCAACGTTGACGAGTAGACAGCCGACAACAAGGGATGCGAAACGACCCCGACATTCTTTGGGTGCCAACGCGGCAATTGATGATAATGTGAAAACTCTTTCACAGTCCCTGATGACAGGACAAACGGCTGACAAACTACACTTTTCCTATCTGGTGGGTGAGTCCTTAGCCCGTCATGGCCGGCTGCAGGAGGCCTTCGACATTTATGCCCTCATAGCCAGTGAACAACCCAAAGGATTTATACCCCTGGAAAAACTGAATGTTTTGGCTACAGCTCTGCTGGAATACATACGAATGCTAAGCAGCAGTTCCAAAAAGTCCAGTGACAGCCCTGACAAAACTGTGTCGTTGACTACAAAGCCCCGTGACGATATACCACAACTGACCAATCTTTCCTCTACCACATCCACGAACCACTCTGGCCCCTCAAGTCTGGCTACACCGTGGCAACTTGCAGCAGGTGCATTTAATGCCAATCAAGGACACTCCAATTTAATAACGGATAATCCAACATTAGCTACAACTGAGAATTTAGATTTGCACAATCCTTCGCGAGAGCTAGCACGCAACAAAAGTCCCGTACTTCTGGACGATTGTGATCCGCTGTTGTGTCCGCTGTGTCGCGATATCTTACGTTGTCCGGTTACCGCGAACTGTGGTCACACATTTTGTCGTCAATGTTGTGATACCATTACCATGTGTAACATTTGCCATATTCGATTTCCGCGTCTGCACAAGGAAGAACCAATAACGGAAACATTGAACTTGACCACTCTGTCGACAGCAACAAGTACTACTACTAGCAGCAGCAGCAGCAGTAGTAGTCGAACAATGAGCGGTTTAACAGCGAGTGTACAAAATTTCTCAAACTCCCAGTCGCAATCACTTTTCTCATTTAGTCCAACAAGCGTTGTAACCAATAGCATTGACAATGCATTGGGTCCCATGGCCAATGATGAAATGTCACGTCTACGCCTTGTCACATCGCCGCCATTGACGCCAACATTGGCCGGATCTCCGACAACGGTAACGACCACTACCATTGCATGCACTACCGATACGGCTACAACGACAATGGCTGCTACATCTTCGTCTACGCTGAGTACTGGCTCTCGTGGCAGTTCCAGCTCCAATGATAATATGAAATTTATGCCCGACGTGTTGGTGAGACGTTTGGTTGAGAAATGGTGGGGACCCGATTTGCAAGCGAGAAAAATTCTAGAGACAGCAACAAGTTATATGCATTTACATTTTCTCGACGATGCATTGAAATTCTGTAACGTCAGTTTAGAGAAAGGTAAGTTGTAATTTAAATATATATAAATAAAATGAATTAGAAAATATGTAAATAGATATAGATTAGGATAACCTAATCACTAGACAATACGGAAATGTCATTTCATATGAATGATTGTAAATAAGTTTTGCTCTTTACTGAATGTCAAGTATTAAACGAGTGTTATTAGGGAGCTGGAAAGCGTTTTTCCATAAAAAATATGTTTCATTTACAAAGAAGATGCAGGAAGTTTCTTGCGGAATAGAGGTGGTGAGGGAAGAGTATTTTCTGAAAAATACAATGAATGTGCATCACTAGAACATCACTAGTGAAAATTACATTTCTTTACCTTTAATGTGAATATGAAGAAATTTGATAAGTTGGGATATAAAGTCATTTTCAATTTCCGTATAGCACTCATATAGCATTGACTTTGGATTTAAAAAAAGCCTCAGTAGTTTGATCGATTGCGATTTCATATGGCGGTTATATGCTTTGCAGAGATCGAAAAGAACACCAAAATTTCCAAATTGTTTAGATTAAAAGTAGGGGTGACTCACAGGTTTCAAATGTTGTCAAGTGGAAGTATTTCGACTCTATCCTAAAAACATGACATTTTGTGGGCACATTTTGATTCAGCTTTCATACAAATGCAAATGACCATATACAATTAACTCCAATGTTTGGAGATCTAATATAGAACATCATTTATCATAGACCTTTGAAAATTTAAAGAGAGCATTGAATTACTTCAAGAATCATTGATTTTTCTGTCGGTCCACATTTTGCTATAGTCCCTATATATGACTTCAAGTGTTTGCACGGACACAATAGTCCAACGGATTGGTATCCGGAGATTTGAAATGAAGCGAGGAACCTCATTTTGTAACTATTCTTGGTTGGCGCGTGCTGAGTCGCGCGATGGTGCTGAGTCCTGTTGGAATGTCCAAGGTCTGCGCCCAAAATGTTTGCGTGCCCAAGGTTTTAATTCACCCTCCAGAATATTTTCGCGATAATATTCGGCATTTGTTCTGATTCCACGGTCGAGTAATACGAGCGGAGAGCGACCATCGGCTGTTATGGCGGCCCACACCATCACCATGGCCGGCGCTTGAGTTCTGGTGGCCAACCGAAGGTGCACATTTTCAGCTGACCACTTTGGCAAGTAAACACGATCATTTTGTTTGTTTACAAACTGCTCATCGGAGTAAACCAAATTCGATAGTTCACCACTTTCGGCCAAGCAAAGCTACACTTTAGCTCTTTTGAGTCTATTTTCTTTCTGTTGCGGTGTAAGTTCTTGCACTTTTTGGAATATCAATGACATTACCCCGAGCTCATTTTTCAATACTTGCCGAATGGAATATTGCGATATGTTCAGCTCTCGAGCCACTTTTCGGCCACTGCATTATTATTATTGTTTGTGTTTAAGTTAGAATTGCATATTTCCAAAGGATCCTAAGTCCGCTTAGTACGGACCGTAGAAATATGTGTTCTTGAGCTAAAAGGTTACCTACAGTTCCCCTTGGAGCCAACGTTTGTTTGACGCTAAAAGCCTTCTTTGTCTGAAGATTTTCCCTACAATTCTCCTTGGGTGCTACGTTCTCACAGCTCGAATCGTAGGCAGCTTTTCCAACTCATTTCTCTACAAGTCTTTCTGGGTACTCTCTAAGCTCGTATGGTCTGATTTTGCGCCCCTTACCTTGTACATGCATATGTATGTACTTGACAGAAATTCCGATGTTTTTTTTTTTTTTTTTTTTTTTTGTCAGTAATTAAGACATTAGGGGCCGATCGTAAAATTTATAAAATTTTCTGATAGGAAGATTACTTTTGCGCCACCTTGTAAATATTAAAAATATTCTGCTTAAAATAGTGTTTTGTTATTTTAATCCTATTTTGAACCATAAGGTTAGAGGTTCCCAACATGACAAGTTGTTTGATCCCAATATCTGCAAGCAATTCTATATAAATCTTTGAGGATAAGGAAAAATAAGTTTTGTCAGCTAACACATGGCCATATTTGTGTGTTAAGCTATTTTTATTGATTATAAATTTAATCCGGTTGACAGCATCCTTTCGACTAGATAGAGAAATAGATCTCTGTGTCTGTGGTGTATTCCATGCCATGTATGAGGAAATGTACTACATGGATGTATTTATTTTTAATATCCTTGGCTTGTATTTACATTGCTTTGATGTCACATAGTTCTGTGTGCTACATACCAAAAATAAATATCCTGCAGATATCCAAGATGTCCATATTGAATTAGAAGGCCATAGTATGTGCTCACAAGTAATAACCAACAGGTTTTATGTGAAACTATATCCAAAGGATTTAAACACAGTTATTCAACTTTAATGTCTATTTCTTAATTCTTGGCATACCAATTATTTCTTTGCACTCAAATGATATATGGGTTACAAAATCTCCAAACATTTCGAAATACAAACACAAAGGTTGTTTTAGTCAATTATTATGTACCTAGAAGCCCTTAACTTAGAGAGAGTGTTAATCATGACATATCATTAATATGTCATAATTAAAAAAGATATCACAATTTTTATCTATTTTCTAGAATGTGAATTACACCTCTAGAGACACATTTTTTAAACTCAAAGAAAAGAATATACATAGCACTGTGTATTGTGAATGTGGCCATTTCCCATTTGGGCTTTTGATGGCTGACTGGCTGGGTGACATGGCGAGCATTCGTTTTCATTATCTTATGACGTGACGTTGTAAAGAAACACCATCAGATTTTTTGACATTTGAACATCAAAATAAACCCAAAGTAATGATTTAAAGCACACCATGTACAAGTGCTTTGAATGGGTGTAACGCCTTCTACATCGTCCCGACACATGTACATAGGCACATACGTACATATGTTCGTAATCATGACCATGTATTTGAGCAAAGTTCTGACATTTGTGATGTCTAACAATCAAAAACTGTCAACGATTGCTGTCAGCACAATAGTGTACATACAAGTTTCGAGGATTGCGCCAAGCTAATCGTGGGAGATGCTATTGAAATTTTATTTTTTGCTTAAATTCTGAATGAAAATAAATGGTAATGACCACAAGTCTGAAATCTCATTAGTAGCAAATTATTATTTCCCACAATCTTTGGAACTTAAAAAATTACATTTGTTATTCAAAGATTGTTGTAGTTTAACAACTACAAGTTTCTCTAGTTTCCTAACCATGACTTCCATTGCCTTTGCGGACTCGCACACACACTCACACACAGGCAAGGCTGAAAACTTTAAAATTCTCTCAAAAAATGCACAAAGTTGCAGCGTATTGCTACGAGTTGGTAACCATGACAGAGCATCTATCCTTGAACTCTTTGGCCTAGCAGAGTGGAAATTTAGTTGCTAAAAGATTTCATAATTTATTAATGAAGTAGAGGACAACAAATCTTGGCCTCTTTTAAAGTTTTCAGCTCAAATATAAGAGAAATATAAATTTTGAATTTTATTCTTGTCGAAATGGTGCATTTCGTTTGCGGTATTACAAAAGAAGTTAAAAAGTATAAAGTTAGTTTTGTCTTAGCCAATTTCTGGTTTCACATACATGTTGACTCGCAGCGATTATTTTGTCTCTTTAGAGTGCCAAAATGTCGGAAATAGCATCAAATTTTAGAATAAGTTTAGATTTGTTCGAATTGAACACCTTTGACACGAAATATGGCCTTCAAACGGCCAATGAAACTATCACACGCTATCTAAACGTTGCTCTGCGGTATTTTGACCCATTTCCGGCGAAGCGCTTGCTTGAGGTAATCGACACTTTGGTATTTTTTAGTGCCAACCTTACTTTCCAAAATACTCTAGGCACAATCGTCCAACGGATTGTTATCCGGGAATTTTGGTGTCCATTGTGCACTGGAAATTAATAGATGAAATTCATTATACGTAATATTCGGCATTTATTTTCTTGCCACGGTCGATTAATACGAGCGTAGAGCGACCATCGGCTGTTATTGCGGCTCACACTATCGCCGATGGTGCACATTTTGAGCTGACCTCTTTGGCAAGAAAACACGATCATTTGGGTTGTTTACAAACTGCTGGACAACGAATATTTTCAGATCAGAGAAAACCAAATTCGGCTGTTGACCCCTTTCGGCCAAGCTCTTTTAATTCTATTTTCTTTCAGTTGCGGTGTAAGTTCCTGCACTTTTTGGAATTTCAATGACTTTACCTCGAGCTCATTTTTCAATATTTGCCGAATGGAATATTGTGATAGGTTCAGCTCACGAGCCATTTTTTGGCCACTCCGACGCGGGTTTCGATCAAATCGCTTCTTTACTTTTCGAACCATTTTTGCTGATGTGGAATATTACGATATGATCAGCTCACGAGCCATTTTTTGGCCACTGCGACGAGGGTTTCGATAAAGTCGTTTCTTTACTTTTCGAACCCTTTCTGCTGATGTTGCTGCATTCTTCCATCCACTTCCTTCACGTCGGGCTACGTTACCAGTATCACGGCAACGGGCGATGGTACGAGACACAAAAGACTTATTCACATTAAAATGCTGGAGTGCTCTAACGATAGCCACTTGTGGTATTCCAACCGAATATAAATAAATCACAATATCACGCTTGAATTCCATCACGAATAACTTTTTTGGGGAAAATTCTCACCAAAATGCTTTTGTACGCTGTCGCTGTCTGTTTAATAGCTGTCGGATGATAGGCTTTGGAATGACAGCAGTCTGAGTTGGTTGCAGTTTTTTTCATCTCACCCTGTATGCCCTCTGTAGCCATATAACTGTTTTGTGAGTTGGACAATTTGCAAGATAGACTCTCCTTCTTTTTTATCTCCTGTAAGAGATACTTATTGATTGCCTTGAAAATTGTGTTTTAATTTGTTCCAGATGTAGTTTGTAGTTAGGCCATAAAAAGTGGCGCCCGGCTTCAAAAGTTCAGATAAATTTTTCTTGGAAATGTATTAAAATTCTTTCCTGGACCACAAATATTTCCCCACAATTTTCTATTAGAATTCATG